ACGAATATTTATAAGCTGTAGTGATGGTAAACATCTGCATTTTTATTAAATCCTTATTAAAGGGCTGTGTGATGCATCCTCTATTTTACACTGTTCAAACTTAACCACATAAGGGCGTCTAAATCGTTACATTTTGCTTCATCTTTACACGTTTTCGTTTCTTCTTTACTGACACTGCATTTTAATTACTACATCATTTTTCCTTCCCTAGCTAGGTTCACATCACGTCTGTGTGCAAAATACATCAATGCCTGCCAGTTGACTTGATGGACTGAATTAGCACCTCAACATTTGCATAAAAAATGGAGTTTTTCTCTCGTTTTTCATCATTCTACTTCTCTCCCTTCTCCTCGAAGGTTCATCAAACCACCTGAAGAGTGAAGTTGATGGCGATATTGTTGCAACAGTCGTCAAGGTGGATCAGAAGAGATAGAGATGGTCGTACTCTCTTATTTTAAGCGCTGTGCCACTCATATCTTCTGATTTAGAATCACCGTCACAAATATGTGACATGTGTTTCATGTTGGACTACAATAATTGTGGCTGCACAAAATCAGGTAGCAAACGGTTTGGTTGAGTTCTTAAAAGATGATTTAGGTGGCAAAAGCAACCAATGAGGACTGGTTTCTTGTAGGAGCAAAGAGACGTCACATCTGGTGTGCAGTAATCAAATCTCCTCCAAGACTGACTACAGCCTGTGGGAAAAGTATCAAATTAGTCTTGGTTAGTCATTTTGAGTGTGGGACGGGGAGTTAAAAAGAGCCTTACTAAAATCTTTTGACTTCTGATTTTGCTAACTATCCCCCCTTTCCTTCTCTCATTTTATTTTTCTTGCTTGCTTTTCGCTAAGCTGTTCAAATAGCTGTTGACCGGTCAGTTTGGCTTACCACCTAACACTTGCTACTTGCATTGCTGTTGTTCCATGCGGTCTGTTTAATCTGCGCATCTGGCTGCTAAGTTTTCTGTTCTCCCCTGTATCGCACCACTGATGCGCGATGTGTAATTCACTCGAACTTCGACTCACAACAGACGAGATCCGGTTTCCTACCTGAGTTACTATGGCGCACCGATTTTGTGTTCACTTCTCGCAGGTGAGGATTTAAGTCAGTAAGGAAATGTCGCTGGCCCAAATTACAGGATAGGACCTGATGCCTACAAAAGAAGACAATAATAAAGGCGAAACTCGGGGGTTAAAAGCACCCCAGATTGATTTCGACCTCCCTCGGTAGTGATTAAACGTAAAGACGTTAGAGATAGCACATATGCATCGACAAAGCTGTTCACTCAAAACCCTAGCAAGTAGATGTAGGTGATAGATAGGTAGATTAAGCGATAGAAATTTCACCAGATTAGAATATTTTTTGTTTAATCATCCGCGGTCCCTTGTCCTAAAGGAGATATTTGCCATCAGAGCCTGTCGGGGAATCAAGAACGATGCTTTTCCTATACAACAAAGGACCATTCAAGTAGCACCGAACTTTTACATAGTGAGGTTGAAATTCAGTCCACTTACACTTACAAAGCCGTCAAAATAAGGAGCTTCTTATTTCAAATATAGCCATGTCTTTGGGGTTAAACATCCGAGGAGAGTTCTTGCTATCCCTTTAGTGAGGGTGAAGTGCCCTAGAGGTTGGTTCCAGTCATCGGAAGTCAAGGTGTCTCGCTGCTTCAGTGCAGTATTTACGAGCTAGCCACCAATGTGCACCACCACAATAAGAAGGTCTTATCGTTGATTTCTATCAAAGTCGTTAAAAGGCGGTATGAACAAAGACCACTTGATAAGAAGCACTTTGAAGGTCGCAATGAAGTAACAACAATCAAATAGACAGGTTTCGACCTATAAGTCGATTTTAAATGAGCAAATCTTTACTCTATTGCTTTAAATATGCAACCTTACAAAACAGAGTCTAGACCATGAAACCGCAGAAATACCTGTCCGGTACAAGGTCATGTGACGAAAGTACTTCGTGCGGTTTACGGTAAATATCACTGCAACGACTGGCTACGACTTCTACAGACTTGTAAAACGCGTGCAGGGACAAATGTCAGCCCATCAGTCTGGGTTCTGATTTCAGAAGCTTCAAAACCTGCCAAACTTACTCTTAACTTCTTTCATGTGAGCTGCAAAAATGTTGTACGCTGACTGAATCATGAGGGATTGGGCTTTTGGCTTCCTAATCTCTCTTAAGCAAATGAGGCTCTAATTTAGTCGTTTCGAATGAGCCACTCACCATTCTGTCCCACAAACAAAACCACGTACCGCTACATGTGCATCCCATATGTACAGAACTTCCGAGAAGATTGACAGACGAACAAAACGCCGAATGGGAATTGACTACAAATTCATAGATGAATTGATGCGAAATTTCCTACCTTTTTGCAGAAAAAGTAACTATGCACGTAAATACAATAGTTGGATTGTAGTGATTTCATTACCTGGGTATTAATGTTTGCAATGAAAGCTGATGGTTTTGTCAAAAGTAAAAAATGGTTGAAGATTCATTCCCGTTTCCTATTTTTGGGCCTCTTCATATTCTTGGTGATATTTAAATATAATGCCACATTTTCAATCAAAACTTTGCTGTTTCCCCACTCATTTTAGCCATTTGAAACGAGTGGACTACATAAGGAATTTACAGCGCTGGAAAATACGAGAGAATCAAAGCCAGAAACCAATTTGACGAAGTGGAAATAAAAAACTCCGCGTGACTGAGACGAAATGAAAGTAGGCGCGCAAGTAGCTACTACTCCTAGGAATACAGCAAAACAAGGGTCAAGAGCTCAGACACTGGGAAAACCACCAAATCCAATGCAGTTAAAGTGATTGCCAGGGTTTTTTGTAGCCATGCTGCTGTCTCCTTTCAAAGTTTTTATTTGCTGTGGTTCGTCCGAAGCTGTCTTTAGGAGGGTCAGAAGTAGGTAAATTATGCACAAGTTGAACAATATGTTTTCGTTGGGCTTAAATACCATTAAAGTCTTGAAAATGACACATGTAATTGCCCACATTCTTGAAAACATCCTCTCTCGATGGTCTAAAATAATTTCCTTGATAGAGCAGGACTTCTATTCATTCTAGACTATTCAAACGCGAATCTAGAAGAGCTACTCTGCCTTACTTCGGGTTATGGAGTGCACTAGAAGGTTGTGCGTATACCACTCCAATTCAGTAAACTTGAACAGTTGAATTTGGGATGTCGAAGTATCGAAAAAAATACTCGACAACCGATGTTTTTCTGTCATACTTTGACCTTCTGAGAGCAAACGTCCCAGTAATCCAGGTGGTAAGACACGTCCCTGGTCAGGAGGAGTAAAGAACCAAGAAAAATTAAGGCATGATATTTATGCTGGGATTCCTTAAAATAAATGCCATTGGCAGTCACCATAAGTCATCGGTTGAGGCGCCCATTCCCAAAAGCCACTCAACAGTGACACAACTTCGCTATAGGCGGAATTAGTTGAGCAAGATGAGACAATCACCACCAATGTGAGAACTTTTACTATCGTCTTTGCGATGTTACAACAAGTCTCCACTGGTTGATAAAATACCCACAGAATACCTTGGAGCGAAGGTACAATAAAGTGCATCAGTTTGTTTAAAGATCAGGTCTAATGGGCTTCAAACCAACGATAGGGCACAAAACTAGCTTTTGCGAGGTACAAGATGAGAGTCACCAAGAAGATGGGAGGAGTCAAAAGTCTGGTAAATGGCTTATGATACCTCGCACAGAATTGTGGGCGGATCTGATGTCCGCACCAGATTTGGGACGTTTAGGCTAATTAGGTGGAACATAGGATTCTGTACCATCTGTATTAAAAAACGGAAGAGTGTGTGGCCACATTTTAGGTCAGATAATTTTGCGTAATGCAACTAAAATAGACAGATGAAATCAGCAGCAAACACAAGAGACCTTAAAGCTCCTTCATTAGCTGTTTGTGGAGATCAGGCTTTTGAAACATGTGTCAGGTTGCTGTATAACTGACACCCGGCATTTCAAAATCGACAGATTAGACGAAGATGCTTCAAGTGGCATACTTTACAGTTGCTTTACCATTTTGTAGCATTTAGATCTGCCGTCTGGTTGTTGATTTTATTACACCTTTTAATTCTGCTTTTTGTTGGTAATCTGGCCTTATTGAGCTGTTGTTGCTGTTGATGTCGAAGGTATTTATTAGTTCGATTGTTCCAGCACCCTTTGCATTGTTCCAGTATGAGCTTTGCTGTGGACTCCGGAAAAATACTTTGGCAGTAAACCAATCGACAAGCTGAATGTCCAATTGGTCGCGGACAATGTAACCAACTACTTCAGCCCAAATTTCATGGTAAAGGCTGTTCTGTTTAGCTGCTTCAAAGTTCCCGCGATGTCGGTGGAAGTTCCTTCAGGTTTTACAAAAAACTACATACTCTAGAAATAAAACCGTTTGCACCTCCAAATTTTAGGCCTCCACGGGTTGTGCACTGAATCTCGGAACCAAGAAATATTGGGAGTTCATGGTGTTCACTGCTTGGTAGCATCACAAAATGAGAGATGAATTAGGTAAAAAAGAATTCGGTGTGACAAAGAGGAAATTGAATTAGGTGAACAAAAAGCCACCCAATAATAGTAATAGAGCAAAAAAGGGTAAAGTAAGCAGAAATCTTGACAACTACCACAGATATGTGACTCTGAGTGATGTGCCAAATCGCTATGATATGTACCAGCTTAAAACGGAAGGGCTAAGGAGTCAATGACACATCTTCCAACTGGATTGCAAGAGTGAAGAGCTTCCGTGTTGTGTTAATTGCGTAGTGAAACAAATGTCTATCCACTACTATCCCACTGAAGTGATCCTATTTGCCCACTTAGTACAACGAGAGACGCAGCGGATAAGTGGAAGCTAAATTTTAAGGGCAAATCAAAAGTTCACGAGTACACCTCTTTGGTGGTTAGGCTGTCAAGCCCTCCAAATGCCACATGCACTACACGAAACGTTTAAATCCGCATTCCTTTTAACAGTTGGCATCATAATTCTCCCTCCCTCACCCACTCGACCTCCATGCACCAACCGTTGCCCACCTACAGGCATGTTGGAGGTATCACTGTCTACTTGGTAGATGTAACGGACACGTTGAGTTGCTAAGACCTCTGTATAATATTAATTTAGGTATAAAGTCTCTTTAAATACACAGGCCCTTCAATTTTCACAGGTTGCACCTCCGTTAGACGAGATAACTCTTTGTCTATGATTTTGACCTCTCAGCCCTTTGCACGGGAATAACAAATCGTACCCACTGCCTTCTGAGAAGACTCTATAAGCCATATTATGACGAGTTCAGAGCCTCTTAAACCCAAAGGTTGCCAAATGCCTTGCGAAACTTCATCTGCCAGGTAGACGTTAAGGCTGTCGAGGCTTCCGATGCTCTACAAAGAGGGAATTTTAGCTGCCAATCAATCTTTGCAGATACGAATGTCATAAAAAGTGAAGTGATTCAAAAAACTTGCATAATGTACAGATTGGCAACGTCGACTATTCATCAACATCTTGGCTTCTCTTCCCTCTTGAGAGCTGTCAGATTATCTATTTGATTCTTTTACCAAAATTCTCCTAACAACACTGGGGAATTTAGACCCTCAAAATAAAAAAAACCTAGCTTCGTTGCACTTCTAGAAATTGGCTAGGGCCCTAGAGTTAAATAGATGCTAAAAATTGAAATGGTTTTACATAGCGCCTTTGTGGGCAATCTCCTCAGGGTCAATCATCCACATCAGATGTGATCTCAGCCAAATCACACCAGGACTAACGCCATGGGGCAGCGCAAAAGTTACCACCCTACAAGAAAAGTGGCCTTAGATAGCTTGGGTTTTCTTTTTGAGACAAACCAAAACTTTTAACATGACAACGTCTCGATGATGCTGATACTTTTAGCCATGGGTATCAAGGGTATCTCACTTCGTCTAGCTGGTACGCATGTCCTGAACTAATCCAGACATCATTAATCAAGACGGCAGGCAAAATTTTCTGTTCGTGCCTGAAATAGCCTGCAATAATGATAGAGCACAAGTCATATACACAGTAAACGTCAAGCCTAGTTTCTATGCTGGTACCTGATTAAAAAATATGTTTTGGGGCCAACTCCGATAGTGGTTATCCATTCCTCATTGCCATTTTGATCATTCCTATGAACAGTCATCTAGCATGTGGAACGTCTACCTGACCCTCGGTAGTCCATACCTGACCCGTTGCCAAAGTTACAAGAGATAAGTCCCCCATCGGGAACGATGAAAACGTTGAGTAAAAGCGTAACAAGGGAATGCGACTTTCACAGGTTAAAATTTGCCCTAACTCACTTATGCTCGCTTTTTTGCATTAAAGCGCTGTCCGTACCAAAGGAAGGGAAGATGGATAATGAAGGAGTACTTACAGCTATTGTTAGTGAAAATGACAGATTTATTGCGACCAAACAAGGTGAAATTAATCACTTGTCAAATTTTGGGGTAAATAGAATAGACGATTGGTAAGGTAAGGAGAGTGTTTTTGCTTTGCACTTTGCTGTACTTGTCCAAAATGTTGAATAATCAAACAAATTAGCGTAAATTTTGGCGAAGACTTATGAAATAGGCTGGTGTATATCTTAAGTGATTGGTGTAGTCCTCCTGGAGCCGGTTAAGGATGAAATATATCCATGTTGTCCACGTATTTGAACGGACTTCAATCCCGGTTGAAAAGCTACTTGAAGTAGACTTACTCGGTTTCGCAAATTCGGCAGTAGAAGCCATTCCTCTTATCTTGGGGGTAGTACAGTGGGGTAAGGTACCACTCAGAAGTGGTTTACAATTGTTTGATTCTGGTAACGGATCCCTTTAAGGTGGATCACGTACCGAAGGACTCTTAAATCTTGACAGTAAGTCAAAACAGCGCTGACAACGGGAACCTGTATTATTGTCTTTGGAGTGGGTGAAGATAGAGGCAAAGTCCTGCTGAAATCTCCTGAGGAAGTAGATGCCATGGCACCAAGTTCACGTAAAGCTCTAAAACGCACCATCACTCTTAGAGTTGCTCACTGACTGGCTAAAGTTGAGAGATAGTTCAGTGTACTGTATATGCTTGTTTAGCGATCAAGTAAGCAAACAGATCATTAATTGCCACCAAACGATCCACTACTGGGGCATGAACCGCTCTTCATCTTCAGTAAACTGTGCGTATGTGTGAGATCCCTCACACTGGAAAACAATGCTACCGACTTAATATGATAAAGTTTAAAGGTGGGAAAAAAGAATATCATATCTCTTTTAATAGATATCCAGAAATGAACTAGTCATTAAGAGGACAGAAATTCATGTCCTTTCAGTACTACTTACTAGCGCGGAGATTCTCACTTTAGGGGAGGAGAGATAAGAAGGAAAGGAGATGCCTTGCCTTCAATATTCCTTTAAAAAATGTTTCCTTAAGAACAGTTTTTTACCCTTATTGGCACTGGATAATCGCCTGATCACTTGCTCAGTGAGGTAGATATCTGTAAGGGAAATAAAGGTGAGGTGAAAAGGGTGGCTAGGGCTAAAATGTTTCATTTTGGAAAAGATACACAATTTAGAAGAGTGAAATTCACAGTAAACTGCGCTTCATTCAGGAAGTATTACACACTGTAGAAGGAATGATTAAGTTGGTTCTTCCTTCACATGTCCTCCTCCAGGGAGCCAGGTGAATTTTAATCACATTTGAAACAGAAACAAAGATCTTATGACAATATTTCATTACCAATCAAAAAACCATTGAATCAGGCAGAAGGGATTCCTCCTAAAGACCTCGATGATTTCATCTGTCGCCCTGCGTCTACATAATGTATCAAGTGAGGTCTTTTGCTGTTCAATTGGCAGGACTGAACGATAAACAGATTGGTTTTCGGAGGAAAGTTTGTCCAGAACATAAGCTAATTTTAGCCATTGTACACAGATCTCTCTCCTTAGAGGGTCTCTTAATAAAAGATTTTGTTTCTTTTGATTGAGGCTGAAAGAGGTTGCTTAACAATGATGCGATTTACACGATTCCTATCATGTAAGTTGCCAATGAGTACACTATCCGCCTAGGGTGCCTGCTCTCTGTGACGTTTCGAATTACTACCTGCTACCCTTTTGGGGCTGTTATATCGGCAATGCCATCAGTAGGAATAAAGTCATCCACAAGGACGTTGTAAGGTTCGCAACTATTAAAGTATACGTCTATCTTAAAGCTTCTGCATCGCTTTTTTCATAATACCACTTATTTCATGCTATTTTTCAATGTCTAAAGAAGGCGATAACTAATGTTTAAAGAAGTATTATCGGGAGGAATAAGAGGGTGAGGATGAGGTGGTGTTATCCTTCTTCCACTTTGAATGCGCGAACTCCCTCATTGCTATGCTGTCCAGTATGCGGTATGACGTCTTGAGTAGCCTCGTAAGAATAAACTGATTGGTCCTGGCTCTGATCAAATGGAGTTTTTCTTTGCTTCTTTCAGAAAGAGCTGTATCGAGTAAATCTTGCCCATGCACCCTGTAAGTAGGCTCTGCCTCTGGAGTCCAAATCACCCCAAGCATTGCCTCTTAAAAGTAGACAATCGCATGTTCCTTTGAGGATCAAACGACGGAATGAAAAGCGCATTTACCTTCTTAAGTTAGGATGTTATCCATAAACGACACATTTTTATAGAACTATTTGACTTTTTGTCAAATAAACTACCATCTGCCGTGTAGACACTTCCATGACTTTTAAATTAAAGTGGATAGGTCTTTAGGTATTTCATTCCTCACCAATAAAAATTATTTACTTCTTGACTTTAAACTAACGTGACAATATCAGCTTGCAGTTTTGAATTAAGAAGAAGAGAGGAACTTTTAATGTCTCATACATCTATTTCTGAGTGATACATCTTGCATCACCAGAATCAAATTTTCATCATTTTAAAATGTAACATTCTCTTGCCTCCCCTCTTCTAATTACGAGAAGCCTCTGCAACTTCGACAACGAAAAAAACGCGGTTCTTAACTTAGCTAAACAAGTTCATGCAACAGAAGCGTCAAAAATGGGAGAGGGGGAGGGAAGGGAACAGAAGAGATTGCCAATGATAGACGATAGTATTTTAGTGCCTCATAACTTCTATAAACAAGTTTTATGCATCTTGCAAACTTTTACAAGCTAAAACAAATCATTGCTCGGATACACATTAAAAAGGACCCAAGGTTTTTCCACTTCCGAGGTGCACATTTTGCCACTAAACATAAGATTTTCACATTTCCCCCATAGAATCAGTCTTTTTAATTTGCATATCTCTGAGACGATAAACAGGAAAGCTGTGCGCCTATTCATACATTTCCACCTGTTGTGTCTTGTGGCTGGGTAGCACCCCATGCTATCGCTTCGTCTACCTGCCTCGGAATCTAGGCTTCGCGGTTTAAAACCAATGTTTATTAACTCCCTCTTTTTAACATAAAAGGGACAACTTGCTTTATTTAGCATTGGTAGGAGGTTTCTATGGGGAAAGTGTTTGTCTCCTCTTTGAAAACCGATGACGTCAGCTCAGCCACTTGATTGGTTTGATCTGACTGCTTGTCACCTAAAAGGTACATTCATACAGAAGCATATTACAACTTTTTTAAAGAATTTCTTTTTCGAAAAAAAAAGTTTCCAACTGTTGAAATTTCTACAAAATACGGAAAACGTTGCTTTTTTTAATTAGACAAATAAACGCTCCCAAACTTATGACACACTATTTTTATACACACAGCACTTAAAATATTCAACAATAGACTTCCTTAACAGATGTTTCTTGATAAATGTTGAGAGTTAATTTTTGTCTCAGCTTTCCATCAATGGCATTAGATGTACTGACAAAATCATCTCCCATACTTTCAATCCTCTGTTCAGTCACTTCATTTTATGCCTCTATCACCTCGACTGGAGGGGTGCTTTGAAAAGACCAAAGTGGCATTCTTTTACATGCTCTATGAAGGATTAATTATTTAAAAATGGCGTGTTCGGTCATCAGTCATTCCTAAGGTATGTACTTGCACGATGCATGCATTGGTAACCTGAGCTGCATCTGAGTGGAGGCAGCAGCCACGTGAGGGCCCGTATTATACTCCTCATGCCGCCTAAAATACGGCAGCATTTTTTCACCCATTTCGACACCGGAAGAGTCAAGGCTTTTGAAAAATATGCATATATGTGCGTGTCTGCATACGGTGACATCTTCTGTAGAGCGGAGTTAAAAATATCTTTTAGTTGATTTTTACAGGGATAAAGAGTTTTGAAGTTGGACTCTCAACTATACATTAATTGAAATGGATCCTTTAAATGCCTTACTTCGCATTTCTACCTCAATTTTGGCACAAAAGTTAAGCATATTTTTAAAGGTTGAGGGCTTGCTTAGACGACAGTATAGTCTGGTCCGTTTATGGGGGTAAAATATGTCCTAAGGGGTAATAAACGGATGCTGCATAGTAGTTTGACAGTTTGTTGTACTTCTGCTCTGCGATGGCCTTAGGGTCATGCTAGCAGCCTCCGCTCCTCTGCGCATTAGTAAGTAGTATATTCTTCCATCCCCATATTGGGTTGATTATGACTTCGGAGAAGACTGAGAGTGCCACAGCGAATTTTTTGGAGCAAAAAAATAAGTAAACCGTAGGACGTTTTGCTTCCGTGTCTTTTTCATAGATAGGTTTTCATGACTCCTCTGTCGAATTGAGAGCTAAGTAGTTTAGTGATCTTCAGAACACTGAAAAAGTAGTCAGTCACAAGTGGACCACGTAAAAGCAACTGACTTCCTCTTTATCTAACATCTACAACAGATGAATGGGTAAGGGGACCGAACAGTTAGGAGGTTGCCTCAGACAAAGCCTCAACTTCGGACAGTCACAAGGGGTTAATTTAATAAATCCTTATCAAAGGTCACTTACACTTCAGTTTGCAAAAGCTCATTTTTTTCTAGCTGGATTTAATTTATTTGTTGTTTTTTTGACAATTTTACCAGTTAGCTTGTAACTTTCTTTGAAATCCTGCTGATAAAACACTAAGGTGAAGTGCTGCTTGGTAATGCTGACCTGCGTGGAACTTTTAGTGCATCAAGTCAATGGGCGTTCATTTTGACAAAAAAAGGGGAGAAAAAATAAGGGAAAGGTAAAAAGGAGAAAAAAATTAATCCTATCTATAAATCCTCTTTAACACTCTCCTCAAGTGGCAATTGTCACTTCCTGAATAAACCAAACGGTGAAAAATAAAAGAAAAACCAAGACCTCGCTATTTTTGCACTTTTTGTTTCACTGCCATTCATCAAACTCTTTTATTAGACAAAAAGCCATCTCCCAACAGTGGAGCGGAGAAAAGACGTGGAGTCCTCCACTGTCTAATTGTTTGTCCCAAAGTGCATTATGGATGATTTAGAGCTATGGGGTTAAGGAAGAATTTGGCTTAATAAAAGTTAAAACATCAGTTTTGCTGTTGCAAATTTTAATTTCGGCCTTAGAAATGGACTTAGGAACATGGTATGCTAAAGTTAAGTTTTTCTATTTTAGTAAAATCAGGGCTTCTTCATTGAAGTAATTAAAAAAAGGATCTTTTTTAAAGAAACTTCGGCAACGTTATAAGAGATTGCAGAGCAAAATTGTATATGTACTTGAACCTTAACGAAGTAAGCTTTTAAATGCAAAATTCAGTTAAGGCTTAAGCTTTGCCTTGTTAATCATTTGTCTGGATAAAGGGCATTCTAGGGTCTCCGGTATCATAGCACCTCAGATTCTCCCTGAGACTTTAATAGGGTATACATGGATGGGGAAAAAGCGGCTTGCTTTTTGGGTACAGAAGATGGAAAAGATAGGAGGGATGCAGAAAGCTCAGTGCATGCATTGTTTTTCATTCTGAGTGTAGCCACTCTTCCGCTTTGGACGTGATTAGTCATGGAGTGAACCACAGGCAGCCGCAAGACAGGATCAAAGAAGAAGATGATGATAAAATTTCACCAGAGCGTCTAAGCGTCTAGTTGGGTCTTTAGAATATTGCGTTCTCCTTGAGACCAAGTGTGTCGGAGTAAAGAGCCGATTTGACGTTAGTGTCACAGAGTAAACGATGTTCCATTGGAAGGCCATCTTGTGTAAACATCTGAAAATACAACCAAATCTGCTCTTAATTACTTTGTATAATTAAATTTGGTGACTTTTCTTGTGGATCGTTTATGATTTTTTGAAACAAGGCTCCTCTCCACCAGCGAATATTGCCTAAATCTAAAGATTCAGCTTTCCACAGTACATATTTCATCTCTTTAGCGATCATGGATGCCATTTAACTAAAACAATAAAAAACTACTCTTCACTTAAAAAGAGTCCGCCCATTGCTGATACCGATGAAGGGTCTCAAGTCCTCCCCTAGGATATAAAAAAGGAATCATTTTAGAAAGATCCAATGTTTGTGAACAGGAGGTCTTAGACACTACTGACACGCCCCTCCAAATGCCCCGCAGGACAGAGGGGATTCAGTGTAGTGTCAAGTGCGCATTCAAACAAATGTCTATCCACCACTGCCCCATAGGAGTGATTGTGCTTGCCCAGTTACTACAATGGGGGACGCTGCTGATAAATGGTTGGGGTGTCAAGCCCTCCAAATACCACATGCACCACAGGGAAAGCTTAAACCCACCTTTTTTTTCTTACTATTGGCAATCTAATTCTCTCCCTCACTGTCTCGACTTGATCTTAATGAACTAACCACCCTTTTGAAGTGCCCCTGAGAGAGCTACCTACCTACAAGCGTGCTGGGGATATCAATGGCTAGTTGACAGACGTGACAGACACGTTAGGTCAACGAGACGTCTGCTTAACATTTGTATATGCAAGGTACACCTTTGAATGCACGCGCTTTTTAATTCTCGTAAGTTGCATTTCCACCTTACTGGATGGTCTTTTGTCCATGATTGTGGACTCTCATGCCTTTTGCACGTGATTTCTAAATCGTTCCTACTGATGCGACTTACTAGGATTTCAAAGAACCCATGTATCGATCCATACTTGACTCCACGACTGTTCAGCTCCTTCAAAAACGGGGTATGGAATGCTCTGGATTAGGGTAGTCTCAGAGTGCTACATCTAATGATCGAATTTAGTAAAGACATTGTTAAGTAACCCTTTCTTCTATCCATGAGTTAATACGTCTATCAAGTTAGGCAAACAATATGTTAACGATTTACAGAAAAATCTGACTGTCTGTTGATGTCATTAAGTTTAATTTTTCTTTAAATAGCTATCAATTCTTCAAAAAGGTTGGGGGGGGGGGGGGCGACTTCAAATTATTGAGGCGATTTTTCGCTAAACAAATGGGTGCATATACGCATTTAGATATCCACGGAAGAGCACAAAGGGCTCCACTCTGGTGCAGTCCTGTTTAATCACCTTAGAAGCTGGAGTGTTTTAAATAATGGCTAGTATAGTTTTTTACCTGAATTCTACCTTTGATGGCTTGACGAGGGTGGGGAAGAAAAAAGCACCAAGGTAATAGAATATTTGTGGCCTTTTTCTTCCTTAAGAAGGGTAAAAAAGTGGAACGCAATGCTCAGTCAAGTGGTCCTTCTTATTTCCGACTAGTTAAGGCACCTGATAATTGGTACTAATAGAAGAATAAAAAGTCAGGCAAATTTGTTAGAAATTAGGGCTAATTTATTTCACCTCATTATTGCCCTGAAGTGAGTTTTGCCCCTCTTCCCTTTTTTCCTTTGTTGTAAAAAGTTGGTAAAGGTGGACAGCAAAATGCCATTATCGGATTTACCTCCAACCAAAAAAGTTATAGCGTGATCCATTCATTAGGCATGGAACAAAGCAGTGATAAGGACAATAGCATCGCTGATTTAATCGAGGGGGCTATTGTTTGATGCATTCAATACAGTGAAATAAATTAGTTTATAAACGACTTCAAAGGATGATTCATTTATTAATTTTTATTTTGATAAATGGGATGTAAGCAGTTATGCGTTGGTAAAAATCTAAGGAAAGTTTCTCAATTACAAGGAGGGAGGCTTAATTCCAAGGTGATCTAACCCTGGAAATTCCACTTCCTTAGAGTAATGGGTTTTGTGGAGGCGAATGAAGATCCTGCCCTAACCACTTCAACGTACACCTCATCATCAGCTATAATTTAACTGGAGATATTTTTAGTTGGAGAGTAATTGACTAGTATCATCATAACCGAATTATCCCTCGGATGATTGTCAGGATAGTAGGGAGGAGGAAGATAAATTTGTATGCCTTCTAGTCATTTTATTGGGGAAACTTTGGAATGCCGTTGGGTGGGGAGTCTTGCGCTCTCTTGTACAAAGAAGAAGAATGGTATCATTTCATAATTAGTTAACAAACTGCTACTTGTTTCCAAAAAAGAAGGCAAAGTTTTTTTTTAGCACTTTTTAAAAATAGATATGCCTCAATCACAACTAATTGGGTTTCAGCAAGTGAAAAAACTCATCTGAAAGAACCACTTGAGGCTATGGCCACTGACATTTCACCCGTCAAAATACAATTCCTTATGGCCGAGATACATAAGATTTTTTTACTACTAATGGTATGCAATGTTAAAAGATGTTCTTGAATTGACCTGTCAAGAGTGACACGAAATTCTCCATCACCGTCAAAAATAGGGAGTCGCCCTGCCTCCAGTGTACCACCATCCGAGTTATTCACCACCTAGCTTGTGTAGTACAGTAGAGGCAACTTAAAAATAAGAGGGAGAAAAGGCATGAGGGCAATGTGAAAAGCATATTTCATTGTTTCCTAATACGCAGTTTTTAGAGGATCGGATGGAATTTTCTGCCCCACCTGATACACCATTATTGCCACAGAAACGTACAAATTTATTGCTTTAACCAAAGTAGCCAAATAACTTAAGCAATCTTCAAAAGGTGTATTTTATAAAGACACATAAGAAAATTGCGAAAATTCCAGGCACGTGTTTTAAAGAAACGAGATGAAAATTAATGCTTTAAGTACTAGCGTCACACATATGTGACACGTGTTCTTTGCCAATATCTGCACTAAATTCTGCCTGAATACTTACTAATTAATTTTAAAGGAATACCAAATGAGATGTAGAACATTCTAAGCTCAAGTAATGGCTGAATAAGTGGAAAGTTGTCAATAATTTTTGTGACATCGTGGACGAATAGAACAGTGGGTTTTGATGGTCAATTTTTCTGAGACTGGGAAACGCCTTTAAAATATGGCAAATATTATCTTCTTATAACAACATTGCGAGTAGTAAGTGGAATAGACTAAGAGCCTTATTTGTTCTTAATTAGGAGAAACTGCTACTTCCGTTCGGGGTGATAAAAGCCTCCGCCAGCGTATACTCGCCTCGTAAAAGTTAGGGAAGATGTAATTTACCCCCTTTTTATATACACCTCATCTAAGCTGGCTAAACAGGAATTATTTATGAGTTTGAACACCGGAAGGCTACTTACGAGGTCCGTGTTTTAAATGGAAAACTTGAGAAAGCAAAGTTTACGGGATTTTCATTATGATTCACTGCATTCGGTTTTTCCACCTTTAGGGCGTTTGTCAAGTGTATGCGATTGTTTAAATACATAAATATGCGTTAGGCTACCATCAGCGCCCTTTGTTTGGCTCTGTACTTTGAGAAACGATGTTATCTGAGCCTGGTTGGTGTTATTTCAGGTTGCCTGTTCTTCAGTTTTTGGCTAACACGCCTTCAAATCTGTGTGAAAAATGCCCTACAAATGTTAACATGGGCTCAAAGACTCAGTCGGAGGCGAAAGAGGAGTTTTTACACTTCAACATGAACTACATACCGCTACTAATATTAGAGGTACGGTGTGAAGAGCCTTCCATAGCAGCTGGTTACAATTTCAGGATGAAAGGAAGCTACTGCCTCTTCCTCTCATGTCTCTCTGATTGCCACAAATCTTGACCTTAACTCCTGACAATAATAGGGCAAATAAAATAGGTAGTTGAAATGTAAGCCTGAGAAATAAATATGGGTAAGTAGTTTGCTTCTAGAGCTTGTGCTTCGTCTGGAAAGGATGAAGTGTCGAAGTTAATCTAACCCCCAAAGCACCAGTGTTTATAATAAATTTTTATAACAAATTTTATTTTAGGTTAGTTAGAATATTTAGCAAATACTTAAGGTAAAAAGGGTCAAAAAGCTGGAAAATACGCAAATTAACATCATTTGCGGTCAGTTTATGCTGCGTCACGATCAGGTATTTAATTGAGGTCATGTCGCTAGGGTCAATTACCAAAGAAATGCTCAACAGAATTCCACAGAAATCGTAGAAGTAATTGAGTGACCATTACTTATCACCGGATTTTACGTGGAAAAATCACTAGCTTAGAAAGGTGATTGGCCTGAAGTCTTTTATTAAAGGCGGTTTGACCTCACAATAAGACACTTTAACTATTTTTTATTGCAAATCCGTTTTTAATTACTCAATCATTTGTTTTCAATAAATATGTGACATGCTTTCTGAACGAAAGTAAGGCCAAAAATGGTTATATTTATTATATACAGAGGGGCGGAGGAATTATAGACACGACCGGAAGGCCACGTCACCAAGACGGAAGTACAACCCGCGGAAGCAGAAGAGGCCACGTATCTGAATATACCTTCAAACGAATGGTAGTTCAATAGGTAGTCCCCTCCCCAGCCCTCGCTTTGGTCCTTTGTGATTGGACTAGAGCTATCCTTCCAATAAATAGCCATCACCCAAGAGGAAGGATCGAGGGTGGTACAATAAATTGTCGTCATAGAGAGAATGCTGTCTACCATATTGGTAATGGTTTACTCCATGCATCTTTTTTGGGACTTTTAAATATCATATATTCTGCAGTAAGAAATATATAGGGAAATCAGTGGCTTAAGGGATTTTATAAAACTTGGACAACGTTCCACCGCAGGTACTTTCTGCTCATAATCACTTTTTGAGGTAATACAAAAGGAATTCAGGTTCTAAGAGCATAAAATAAAAAGCTGTCGCAGGGCTATAAAGTAGGTCTTTCGTGCACTTGGAATTTTGCCAGAAAGTCATTGCTATGCCTTCGAACCCGATTCTGACATATGACGTTTACATTTAATGGCCAAGTGATAAAACCAGGGCTATTGTTCACATGCGTGACGTTTGATCACCACTGCCTCCACTGCATCCCACTGAGTTTACTATTTACATGTATGTAAATGTATCATAATTCATCCGAATATGAACAAAAAATGAATTTTTAAGAAGTCCATTAAAATGTGAGAGATGGGAAAAACCCCACGTGTATGTAATGGATTATGTCACCAAAATGTCAAACTCACTGACTAATTGGATGATCTAACAGCATATTTTAGCATTAGAAAATGACAAAACATGAACAAATTTTATAGATCAATTTGGAGACAGTGAAGGTCAAAATCATACCAACCTCTTGGTTGAGCGAACGCAATCAATTCTTGAGGAGGTGAAAAGCATAGCATAAAATGCCCTCTAGCCAGTCTTCTTTGAAAAGGACCTGCTTTAAAATTCCTTGATTGAGCCTACCTTCTTTAATATGACATCAACTCCCTGAGCTTTGGAAACGACTGTCTGCTTGTTAAAGCGAATCTATGATTAACAATACGTAGGTGGCAAGGGTAATTAATAAATAAATTGTTTGTCCGATGTTCCAGTGTTTAGCCTGAAGGTTACGGCTTCCAGGCTGCTGCATTATTTGGTCAAAATAAGATAAATTTAATGTTGGTTGTGTTTGCTTAAAACTAGACAAAGAAAGAAGAGGGACAGTTTTGCACCTAAACTAAAATTTTTTATCGTTTAAGCATAAAAGGGGAAAAACGAAGCTATTTGGCGTGATCTGGAGATATATTTTTATTTTAGGGGAAAGGAACGCGATGAATCGTGCAGAGACGATAATATTAGAAACATTATGGTATGCCCATCAATTCCCCTGTCCGTCTATCCACCTACCGATTTGCTGCTGTCGATGTACAAAAGGTGTCTTCATCAATGGGATTTACAATTACTGAATAGTGAGCAAAGTCAGGCTTTTCTCTACTTCAAGTGCTTTTTCATATCTGCTGCCAAGTTAGGCTACTCAATGGCTACTCAATATCGCTTTAAGGTGTTTGAAATTATTACCATTATAAAGGTGTCGAGTGATGTAGGAAATCAAACTGGGACAAGCGTAACCCTCAGGTTTGGCCAGGACTGCTGCGTTAATTTGTAGCCGGTGACGTAGTCTCATTTACAAGAATAGAACATAAACTCCGTGCAGCCAATCAAGCCTAACAGGAAACTATACAGGAAACCGCACCTCGTCTGTCATATGAGTTGGAGTTCACGTAGATCACATATCACGCATAAATGATGCGACACTGGGGAAGGAGAAGACTTGGCAACCAGACAAGCAAATCGACCACACAGGGCAACAGCAGTGACGATAGCATTGTCAGGTGGTAAACCAAAATGAGTGGCCAACAGTCCCCAAAACAGGGTAAGTAAGAAGCAAGCTGAAAAGAAAGAAGAAAAGATGGTAGGGAAAGCAGGCAAAAAAATGAAATCACTGCTTGCAGTTTATAGTTAAACCTCACACAAAATGACTAATCACAACTGGATGTGTAGTTATTCTTAGAAGAGACTTGAGCATAGCATACCACATGCATAGTTCGTTGTTTTGACTACATACACCGCTGTTTGAGACATCAACCAATCTGTTTGCTACCCGATTTAGTGCAGCCACATTTGTCGTAGAAGGATAGGGAGCAGATGTCACATATTTGTGACTTGTATTCTCAGACAAATTGCATATTACGTAATGTCAATGATAAATGTACCAAAAATTTCCTCAAAAGAAATGAAGCCACCTTTTTCAAGAAAAAGTGAGCTAAAGGGGCTTAAGGTGAGGGATTGTATTCATTTATGCGACTTTTAGCCCACATAAGAGAATGTTTTACGGGAATATTGCGATCGAATTCACACTTCAGGTCGTTAGACGAATTCCTGGGGTGAAGGAAAAAAAAACCTAAAAAAGCGCCCATTTTATGCAAATGATGAGGTGTCAATCCAGTCAGTAGTGTCAGCCCAATCAGTTGACAGGCCTTGGTGTATTTTAGCACATAGGCGTGCTGTGAACTTAATTAGCGAAGGAAAAATGACGTAGTCATTAAAATGCAGAAGGCCACTACTTCTTCTTTTTCCTTTCCATGAAATGACAGCGAGGTCGTGAGTGCTAAGGGCAGATGGAGGTGGAATTAAGTGTACCGACTGAGATACACCTCTGGCGTGAAGTTAGAACAGTGCAAAGTGGGTGGTTCTTTACTCCTCCCTTTAAAAAACTTGAAATAGGACACAGGGCTCAATTGTCATTGCAGCTCATAAATATTAGAGTAGGTCCTGCTTAGCTTGGAGTTTCGATACTAGAAAAACAATAAACTCTTTTATGGATTAAGTTACAGAATAAGAATGGTTGTTAATGTATTCCGCTGCTGAATGGAGTCACAACTATCCGTTCAGAGACTCTACCTCTCCGGGCCTTAACATTATTACTAGGCAAATTTTAGGTAAAAATATCCTAATCTACCCCTAGTGAAAACTCAGTCATAATTTTTCCGACTTTAGGTGTCAAAAAAGGAAAAAGGAAAGCAAAACATTTTTCTTTACAACATACCACTGTTACAGAGATAATCTATCAATTCAAATGGCGGGCATTTAACAACTTGCTTGCATCTGAGTCTCAGATTTTCTCTTGTCTACCACCCTGTTGTAAAGATGAATCCTCTCCAAAGCCATTGTAACACGCACCATTACAGAAGAAAAATTTGTTCGCCGAGCATAAAAAAGCTGGGATTCCGCACGTCTACATTTTCCATCAGCTCAAAGCAGGCAGAAGTCCAGAAGGTAGAGGGTGGAAAAGTGTGCCTAGTTAGGCCACACATGTCAAATTATGGCATAATTCATTTTGTCCTTCAGACATCATTTTAATGGACACTTCAACTTTGGTCGACTATTTGTAGGATGAACAAAGAAGATGCGGAACTTCTATGTACTATCTATCAACGGTGATACATACTGTTGGCCTGAACAAACTTTCCAGTAATCGCGCTCTCCTTAAGGTAAATTATATCAGTGAAGTGCCCGATTCGGAAATAAAATTAAGAGTTGGACTATATTGTACAGCAAGCTTTATAAGACACAGTCTTCCGGCCATGCCACACGACTGAACTTGAAACTAGGAAAAGGATCAAACTTAATCGCTATCAATATCACATGTATGTGATGCCCACATTTTACTGCATGAGCAAGGTGTCACCAATTTCTGAAGGTTATCTGCATAGGATTCTGACAACTTTTTTTAGAGCCATTTTTTAAATTAACAGTTTTTTTTCAGAGAAGTGATAATATTCAAAAAAGACGAAAACAAAGACAATCAATGTGACACTTTAACAATTGCAAGGTTAGATTTTAACGACAAATTCCGACCTTCCACGTTGCATAATTACTGACTGAAAGTCGTTAATGACAACCATGCCAATTTGTAGGGTATTTTCTCAAATATTGCCCCTTTTTCACTTAAAGAGACTAGAATGCAAAGTCCCTGTTAAAGTATTTAATGCTGAAACTGTGTTGTCTCTAGGAGTAAACAAGCCACTCCTGACCACCTCCGATTTACTCCTCGATGCAACTCCTCACCCAACTCTCTAATCCCCCACACATGTAATTACATGGTTGTCTAGTGTCCAGAAAAGGTGATAACGACTTGAATAACTCACTTCATCACTAACAACATGTTGCTAGTGTATTTCAGACAGCGGGAAAGGTAGACAACTTGTTAGAGGTGTGAAGTACATAATTAAAGTGTGCTTTAGAAGGGAAGACAAGTCCGAAACACCGCCCGATACATGCCCACAAAAACCTGTTTGAGCCATTTTGACAAGATTTTTCCGCCTAAATGTAAAAGTAATCAGAACACTTTTTTGTCTGAAACATATTCACATTAATTACCAAAAGTTATCATGGCAAATGCGATCTGGAAAGGATAAAAATGGGGAAATTCCCTTTTTACTATTTAAAAAATCTTTTTATATAACAGGGAGATTAGTGGGGTAGTGGAACTATAAATGGATAAAAAATTGGAATGTGCAAATGTTACTTAAAAAGGACAGCCTTTCTTGATGTCAGTAAAGACAAACTGTGACATTTCCATTGACGAGGCGGATAAAAAGTTAAACCTTCTAAAAAAGTTGAATGTTATATGATACATTTAAATCTTTCAATCGCAGAAGAAGGAGATTGTCAATGTCTTGGCTTCCCTTGCTTCATTCTCTAATTTGACGTTAACATTGACAGCCTAGGAAAGTTCGTGTTTGAAGGTCATTCCGTTGCATGCTTCGACAGGCTTGATCCGTGCCGCTTTTAATGAATACCGCCTCAATGAATGACTGTAAGCTGTCAACACTTGCAGACTGCATGCGGTTTTACCTGTTCAAGATATATTTTCTCCCGATCTCTAATATTTTCCTATTTTTGAACTCTTGACCCCTAAGATAACGGACTTTGAATGTATCTTCTTCCGGAGTCAAAAGTACCGGAGCTTCTCGCCACATTTGCGTAGCATCTCCAATGGAGGTGTAGCAGTTAAACGCACCATTTAGGTCCCGATTTCCTTCTCGGTTATGAAAAGTTTCTTAGAGTTTTATTAAAAGATAGAAGGACTTTTGATCATATTTGATGTGGGTGATGTAACATTTAATTTTATCTCTCAAATTAATTGAGCAAAATTTGTGATAAGAAAGGACTTTTGTGTTTCTGTATTCCCACATCCGTGAAATGAACAAAAGTCTCCTTATTTATTTTAAGTTACACAATCCATACTTCACCCCTTGCTTTGTGGGTATTATTCACTTTCTGAAGACCAAGCAACCTGCTGAGACAGTAAAACTTGGAGGTGTGAAGTAGAGACAGTCAGAACGTGTCAATCAGAAGAAAGGTCCTACTTTCTCCCGCATGCCACACATCTTACCCATGGGAGGATTTGTAACCTAAGATGAGATAGAAAGGGAGGGTACTGCCTCATCCTCGTCTTCATTCATCCATGTTAGAGTCTGCAGTGTAATTCTGCCTTTATTAGACTCCGACATTTGAGGGTGCCTTTGGCCTTTTAGAAGAAGGCGCCATTCATTAGGACTAGTTCATTTATACAGCCTGCACAGTGCAGTAATAGATGACTTAAGTTTTTCCATAATCCTTTGGATGTCTTAAAAGAGGTTCTCAATAAGCGAGTCCGTAATACGGAGGATTAGTTCATTATCTACACAAAAACATCTAAAAACAAAACTGCTTTGAAGGTAGCTTGGAGACGGTGATAAAGGTAAATGAATTTCTACATTCCTCCATTACTAAAACTGCTCGATAATAAAATTATTCTTTAGGTGTCGACTTAACCCCCTCTCCTAATTCACTACTACTGCTTACTTCATCAAGCTATTTGTCTTCTTGGGGATAAAATTAGGAAAAAACAATTTCTGGCAAATAATTCACCTTCAAGTAAATGAATATCTTCTTCCCAAAGAAAAAAGGATTTTATTTTCTTTGTGTAAATCAAAGGCCATTTCACTTGTTGTGTGATGTCTTCGAATACTTTATTCACTTGCATTTTTCATCACTACCAGAACTTATTTAAAAAGACTACTTAATCTACTATTTATCCTTTATTTCTGAAGTAGCGTTCTTAATGTATTTGTTAAATTTGCAGCTGCAAATTTTTAAAAAATATTAACTCGAAATTCGTCCCTGGATGATACGGATATATTATCAAAGTATAAAGGACTGATGTTCCTTTTCTCCTATTTCGATTTTTCATAGCAAAATCCCACGCTAAAAGGCATCAAGAAGCAGTTAGATTAAAGTGATAATGGAAAAAACTACCGTCAAGTTACAGCTATGCTTGTGTGGGAGACTAAAGGCGTGGCCCGGAAGACCACACTGACAAGACGGAAGAACAAATCAGAGAGATCGGAAGTCCCCCATAGTTGAATCCAAAATAAAACAAAAATATTTCATTATAATATTTTACCTACAAACTTTGAATTTTGTATTAAATGTCTGCAAAAGGCATATCCAATTTGTTGTAGTAATTCGCCTATTAAATCAGGCAGGATCTTGTTTAGTAAAGCATCCAATCATGCTTCAAGGTAGTATGTAAGGTTATAAAATACTTCCTGAAAAATGCATTTAGAGAGTTCAAAAGTTCACCAAAAACTGGGTTTATTTAAGCTACTTCAAGACGCTATGCAGGAGTCTCCTTCCCCCTCTTCCATTCGGCATTATTTTCACTCCTTAATTACCCCCTCCACTGACTAACCTCTATACCATTTAATGTGGACATGACATTCCATTTCAATCTTCAGAAAGCAGATAAACAGACTAAAAGTACCTATCATACCTAAAAATTGTAGCATTAAGGTTGAAGTCAAAGCCAAGGCAGCT